GAAGTTTGCAAACTAGTTTGAGTTTGAATAATATAAATATATTTTTAAATTTTAAACAAGTTTCTTAATTCTTACTTTGTATTTAAGTAAACTTGTTTAAAATATAAAAATATATCATATGTTTCTAAAAATAAATTACCTTTTTTGGACGATTTTGAACACTAAAAATATAGGATATAATCAATTTTTGGTCAGTTACCAATAGTTGTTACATAGTAAAGTCTAAATTTTACCATATAGATCAATTATTAGCACTTAAGTAAACATGTTTGGAAGACCAAACTACACCTATCCTGAAAGTCTCAACAAAATATAAGTACTTTTTATTATTTGACTTTTAGTTTTTACGTTCAACAAAAATATTTTGTTATTAAAATTTTAATCTCTTCATTGAACATAAATATTAAATTCCAATTAATAAAAATTTCTTCAATTTTATTGTAAATTTTATGATATATGTATTTTGATCTTCTAAAAACGTTTACTTAAGCAACTTTAATCAATTTACTTAGTAAAATTTGAACTTTACTATATAGAAACTTTCATCAATCATGGTTAGCTTATTTTTGGCAATATGCAGTATTCAAACTCAAAACTAGTTTGCAAACTTCAAACTCGAATTTAACTAAAAAGTTTGCTTCAAATCAAACTCAAATATTATTTTTAATGCTAGTTTGAGATTGGGTTTGATTTGAAATTAAATCAAACTCAAACTTGGCCTAAAGTTTGATTTGATCCAGGTTTGTAGAAACCCTAATAAAATGTAGTACTGGAAAAAAAATACTAGCTAGTTTTTAATAAAAATTTTATACAAAATTAACTTATTTAACTTCTAAGGCATACAGTATATGATTAGTTTATATTGGATATTGATATCATAATCTAGAGATATAATTTATATAACTTAGTATTTTAACAAAGTAAAAGAATAACTATAAAACTTTTTTAAATTTAATCAAAATTTATCTAAAATTTATTAAATTTAAATCAAAATTTATCTAAAATTTTAATCACAATTTATCTAAAATTTACTAAATTTAAGCTGTAAACAAGTTATCAAAATTGGACTCTAAAACCAGAAAGTCAATATTGGCCAAGTTCTCTGCACTGAAACAATAACTAAAGAGAATTTAGCTGTAAGAATTTATCTAAATGCAAGTAACCATATTTTATTGCACAATTCACTTACTATATTAGAATTGCTCTCTTAATTTCAATTACATAGCTGTATCTTGTAAACTAAAAATGATTTTGTGCTTTTTGCAAAGAGATTCCATCAATTGCTATTACAATGTTTTTACTATTTTCATTGTTCTTTACAATTTGAAATGAATGAACAATGTGAGTAAATTCTAAATGTAGCAGAAAATTGATCATCATTATCTATTGTACTTTGTCAAAAAACAAATATATAATATCAGGTATGTCATCTTTAACAATCTCTATCTTATCTTCTAAGCTTTTTAACATTTCAGTCCAATCTTCTGTAGTGAATAGTTGGCTTGTTTCTTTTAGAAGCCTGTAAGATCGAGAATTTCCCAATAGATGGGGCTACAAGACCAAAAAGTAATTATTACAATTATCAAACAACCATCATGCAAAAAAAACTCACTTAATACATTTTTGTGATTCTGGAATTTTGCATCTATAGTCAGCCAATATCTGATCTATATCGGTTCCACTTGATAAAATCCAGTGTTTAATCCATCCTACACTCTTTGGTTCATTCTTTTCAACAAACTTTAAATCATCATTTTGAATAGAGACATCAATAAATGCTTGAGTACTCATACTCATTGTAGGCAAAAAAAAGTCAGTTGATGCTTGAGTGCTCGTTGCAAGAAAGAAAGCATTAATCGATGATTGAATACTCATTGTAGGCAAGGAAACATCAGTCAATGCTTGAATACTCATAGTAGAGTCTCTATAGTATTCAATATAAGATTCATCTTTTTTCTTCTTTGGTATTTTCATCTTTGTAACTGCATGAGATAAGTAAAACTCAAATATAGCTTTTCTTTACTCATTGTGGGCAAAGAAGCATTAGTTGATGCTTGAGTACTCATTGTAGACAAGTAAATAGTCAATGCTTGAATACTAATGATAGAGTTATCATCTTCAATATAAAATTCATCCTTCTCATCCTTCTCTTGGTTATCTTCATCTTGTAACTATACAAGATAAGTAAAACTCAAATATAGCTTTTCTTTTTATGTATGATTATCTAATGTTTGTCTGTAGAGCTTTTCTTTCTTATTTTCTCAGAATCCTGTCACTTTGGAGAGTTCGCTATTGTCTAAAGTAGAGAAAAATAGTAGCTTGCAACTTTTAGTTCATTTCAACGTTATGTTTGCATATGTATTACAAAATTTCTGTTTTCAGCCTGAGCTTTGTTTCGTAGCTGTTGATTGATCGATTGCTCCTGGAAAAGACTTTTTACATAATTAAAATAGATTGCATGAACTTGTGACTTCTCTTCCAGCTTTAAATTTGTCAAAAAACAAATATATAACATTAGATATATTATCTTTAACAATCTCTATCTTATCTTTTAAGCTTTTCAACATTTTAGTTCAATCTTCTGTAGTGAATAGTTGACTTGTTTCTTTTAGAAGCCTGTAAGATCAAGAATTCCCCAATAGATGGGGCTACAAAACCAAAAAGTAATCATTACAATTATCAAACAACTATCATGCAAAAATATAAAAAAAAAATTCACTTAATACATTTTTGTGATTCTGGAATTTTGTATCTATAGTCAGCCAATACTTGATCTACATCGGTTCCACTTGATAAAATCCAGTGTTTAATCCATCCTACACTTTCTGGTTCATTCCCTTTAACAAACTTTAAATCATCATTTTGGATAGAGACATCAATAAATGCTTGAGTACTCATACTAATTATAGACAAGGAAAAGTCAGTCAATGCTTGAGTACTTGTTGCAAGCAAGAAAGCATTAATTGATGATTGAATACTCATTGTAGGCAAGGAAACATCAGTTAATGCTTAAATACTCATAGTAGAGTCTCTATAGTATTCAATATAAGATTTATCTTTTTTCTTCTTTGATATTTTCATTTTTGTAACTGCATAAGATAAGTAGAACTCAAATATAGCTTTTCTTTACTTATTGTGGGCAAGGAAGCATCAGTCGATGCTTGAGTACTTGTTGTAGACAAGTAAATAGTCAATGCTTGAATACTAATGGTAGAGTTATCATCTTCAATATAAAATTCATCCTTTTCATCCTTCTCTTGGTTATCTTCATCTTGTAACTGTACAAAATAAGTAAAACTCAAATATAGCTTTTCTTTTTATGTATGATTATCTAATGTTTGTCTGTAGAGCTTTTCTTTCTTAT